ATTACGTGAATAACGAGTAGATTTATAACTTAACCCAACCGATAAGAATTTACTGGTATGTTTTTACGATAGTTCTGTATAGTTGACAGGAGTTTAAAAAATCCATTAAAATATTTGATATTTTTATTCCGTTCTCCGATTTTATATTACTTACGGATTTCAATGTTAAACCGGTGATATTACGATTTCGTATATCCCATCTTTAAGGGGATGTAGAAAACAACGTGTATAATTCTTGTATAATGTTAAAAAATTAACCGTTACTTCGACAACATCATTTACAACTAAATTTAATGAATGAGAGAGATGCACGAGGTACAGAAAAAACTCTAGAATTTATTTTCCTTAAATTTACGATTTATGTATCCGTTTGTCATAAAAATTTGTCTTTCCACTTTTTTCCCGAGACTACAAATATTCGAGTACAAAGTAACCGGTTTCGACTTATTTCTACTTAAGAAGTAGTTAAATAATTAAGCGATTAGGGAGGAAATTGGGGACGTAAACAAAACCCTGAAGAAAGAGCCGGAATATTACTTAAACAAAAGCTTAACCGAACCAATCTATAGCAGAGTACAGTGGGAACTGATTTCTTCGAAATACTGTATTAGATGTAATAAAGACAGAAATTTTTCCAGTTCGACGAGAGTGATCGAAAAGTTGTAGCCTAAATTTTGGAAATTTCTGAGGATACTTGGTCCTAAAACGAATTAGTTAGAAAACAAATGACTATTAAGTTTAACATATTTTTACGGCTATGGTGAGAAACGTTTAAAATCTACAACAGCCCTGTCGCGTCCTTTGAGATATACTAATGATGCAACAAAAGAAATATTTGACACTGACTGGTATCGGCACCCTGGGGATTTGGCAGTCCGCGTGTATGCACGCTCTGCAACCGTCTTCGATTCCATCCATTAGCCACTCGTAGGGAGCTATTTGACTAAGTGCATTGTTTTAAGATTTAAAAAGTAAAGAATATTTTATATTTTTATGTACGTTTCTTTGCAAAGCTATATTTAATTATAATTTTCTTTAAAAGTACATTCATATAATTGAAGAATATTTTGTATGTACCGGTACATCCACCACATATTTTATTTCACTAAGTAAGTTTTTATTGTGGGTGTAAGTTTTTATCGTTTATAACGATATGAATGGACCCTAGACCATCACTGACGCGCAATTGACTGATTGTCCCTGGATGTCGGCTTCTTACAGGAACACAGCTTCCCTATCATCAAATGTTACGGCACGCCCCTGTTGTTGTGGGAAGTTCGGTCCCCTCGTTCCTCTATTGGTTCCATTTCACGTGTTTGCCCTCGCTTGGACAATCCTATTGATCCGCAAAACTGTTCACTCCCAACCTCCCCGTGTCTTTGGGATTTTGGGCTTTTATAACCTTTTTCTTCCTGAAATCTGAGATTTTGGTTGATCCAAATGATGGTTCTCTGCGATTCTATTGGTCCCTGGTCTGTTGCCAGGGATGCGATAAGATGTTTTTGGTAAACTTTTGTTATTTGTGAGAATACAGTAGAGCATCGTTTATCCGGAAGCCGATCAACTGAAACGTCAGTTAACCAAAAGCGTTCCAGTCAGATTGTGTCGTGCTGAATCAAATGTTTTTGATACTAGATTAACTTCCAAAATATAATTTTTTGTATTTATTTATATTTTTCAATATATTTATTTTGTTTGTACAAAATAAAGAAATAATTTTTTACAATACAATAGCCACGATTATTATTTTAAAAAATTTACATTGGGCTTAACATCGACAAAAATTCAATGCAAAGCGATGTGCAGCAGAGAAAAATTTCAACATGGGATAGGTTAATATATTTTTTCGTATATAATCAGTTATCCGAACAACCCCAGTCCCCAATTGATTCAGATAAACGACACTCTTCTGTAGTAAAAATAAATATAAAACCAATTTCTAGNGCGGTCCTTCTCTGTTCTTTTTCCGTTATTTACACGTGTAGGTCATTTCATTGTTATCCACATTTGATATCATCATTTATCACATACTTCCATGACACTCTTTTCTGTCCGCTACAACTGCCAAGAATTAACGCGATTGGCGAAGCGTAGTGACAGTGGGCCAATAGAGAGCAGGATCCTTGCCATAATGCGGTTTGCGCGCCAATTTTCGTACGTGCGTTAATCAAGCCGAATAGTTTGGCCGAATATTCGGCTATTCGGCCACGCTCCTGGCCGAATATTCGGTATTCGGCCTGAAGCCGAATATACTATTCGTTACAACACTACCAATTAGTGCTTACTGAACCGTAGCACTATGTAAATGTCATATGGCGTGATTCCCGGCCGACCAATTAGCATCACCAGCCGAAACGTTATGCAAATCTGTGATTCCCAAGCCATAGTCTTATGCAAATCATGCCGTGTGGCGTAATTGTCTGCTGACCAATCAGTGGCTGTACCAGTGCTGTGCGATGTCTATAATTTTAACATCGATGCTAAATTTCGATGTCGGATTTCACATCGATGTTTGATCGATGCCCATTGGAACATCGATGTTCAATCAAGATAAACTCAAACATTTAAAAAAAAACAAAACTTAATTTTATTTTCAACTTGTATAGTTCAATTACAGTTCCAATGCATACAGTTCTTCAATTGATAATGAATTTAAAACTAGAAGTTTGTGTACATTCTTTGGCTTTAAAGAACTCCGCTTTTTGTTGATAGTATTTCCAGCTTTGGAAAATAATCTTTCTGCTGGAACTGAAGTGGCAGGAATGCAAAGCCACTTCATGGCAAGTTCACATAAATTATAGTTAAAAAATTTCATGGATTTCCACACATCCAAAGCATTACTATTGTGAGGCACAATAGGGTCATCTAAAAAAGTATTAAAATTTGAATTTAAAGTTGCATTTGTGTTAACATTTCTATCTTAATATCAATTTTTCTGGATGACCAAAGGTCATCATCTTCAAGTTTATTTTCTGCATTATTGTGAAAACTTATTTGAGCCTCAGCAGAGGGAAATTTACAAAGTTCTGCATTTACACATTTAATTGCATTTGCACAACATGCTGGACTTTTAAAATCTAGCTTTTTGAACCTTGGGTCTAGTAATGTGGAAACACTATATACTAACTTCGTCTCAGTGGATTTAAAACGGAAATCAAGATTACTAAAACATTTTTCCAGCAACTTCTTTCCCACATTTGTTTCTGTAGAAACCTTGCAAAGTGCATTAAACATTAACCCTAAAAATGGGATAATTTTACTGATGGTAGTGTGAGTTTCTGCTGAAATTTCATTAGTTACTTTATAAAAAGGTTTTAGTACTTTAAGCGCATCATTCAAAGCACTTAATTCTCTACCAGAGAGCATGTCGGGTGCCTCTGGAAACTTTTGCAATGTTAGTGTAACAAAATTTTTTAATAGTATAAATCTCTCAATCATCAAGAAATACGAATTTCATCGAGTCTCAACATGCTAAATTAATTTTAATGTCACAGAACCTTTTTCATTCTGTGATGAGTCAGAGTAAACAGACTAACATGGCAGAGTTGAGGATGAGTTTCAATGAGTGTGAGTTCGTTCACTGTTAAAATAGTGTAAATTTGTAAACATATTTGCAAGAACTTTGTTTCATCGCAATTTCTACGAAATTCCCGGANCTGCGATGAGTCAGAGTAAACAGACTAACATGGCAGAGTTGAGGATGAGTTTCAATGAGTGTGAGTTCGCTCACTGTTAAAATAGTGTAAATTTGTAAACAAGAATATTTGCAAGAACTTTGTTTCATCGCAATTTCTACGAAATTCCCGGACTGTCCGAGTGAAAACCGAACAGGTGGTAACACTAGTTACAAAGAATGAACTGCATGCATCGATGAATGAAAATTCACATATTGCTAACATCGATTCAGGATCGATGTTTCAAAAACATCGGAAGTTCGATGCATCGACGAACAAAAACATCGATGTATCGATGTGACATCGATGCATCGCACAGCACTAGGCTGTACTTTCAACCATCTGTCGATGACCGTTACGACTAAAGGAAAACTTCGCTAGGTCTTACTTTCAGGGGGAGGTCTTATATTTCGCAATTCAGCAAAATCTGTGCTAGGTCTTATTTTCTGCGGATGTCTTATTTTCAGGGAAACACGGTAGTAGTATAGATATAGATATAGATGAAAACGCGTGCGTATTCGAATGCAGCGTTGTATCAAAATTTCAAAGGAATCGGTAGGAACAAACGAACATTACATTTTTATTTATATAGATAGATAGAAGATGATCTGCTTTAGTTCATTTTCACAGAAAAGTATAATGCCTCGCAGAAAAGCAAACTTAGGGCGTCGTACTCGTAGCGCCATCTGTTAGACATAAAAGCCTTAACCTAGATTATATATTTTAATTTATATGAATGTTTAACGTAATAATATACAGCCTATGTCCACTCTAAAGTTCTATTCTAAATATTGGTGAAAGAATTTTTGAAATCGAATGAGTAGTTTCGGAGATTACCTGCTGCAAACAAACTTACAAACATTACCTCTTTATAATATTAGTATAGATATGACAAATACTGTACAGTAGACTCCCCTATAACGGAAATTCCTATAACGTAGCGAAAAAATTGTAACAGTATTCGTATAAAGGGACTCGTAAAACGTCGTCGCGACTCGTGTCGCGACAAGATTGGTCGAATCTGGACCAATAGTGGATGAGCAGCCGAACTATTTTCCACCGTCCAGCGCCACGCTACGGAGAGTTTAGGCGAGTAAATTGAGTTTATTATTGTCTGTACAGTATGTAAATTAGGTACCGTAAGTCTAATAAAGTACTGTAATTTTATACATTTCTTGTGAAAGAAACATTTCTTATTCAACAGCCTTAAAAATTATTTATATTAATGATGTCTCCAAAGGTCAACGAATTTTTCGCAGAAAAATAACTTATCAGAAATCGCGGCCGTCTTTGGTTCACTGCTCCGCGACGAAAACAAGCGTAAGCAATGGCTTGGTCGAACGGTGCACACTCGGTAAGTAATCCTACAATTTTTTGTTTATAGCATAGTTTATACGGATTATTCCCAAAAACTTATAGGTGTTTTGGAAACGTTGAATTAATTAGTCTAGAATCGGTTAATTTTATGGAAGAAAACCTTTCAAACAGCCATAGTCCGTAAACTTCACACGTGTCGGGCTGTGATTGGCTCATGTATTTAAGAATTCCTACAACGTGGAATTCTTATAAAGTGGAACGTATCTAAGCGTTATAGGGGGTCTTCTGTATTGAATGTCGTTATATTCGATTTGGAAAGTAGACGAAGAAACTACATTTAATTAAGTTACACCTGTGGCACGAGAAGCGTTGGAATTGGCTTCTAACCGTGAATGAACAATACAATCTAAACATAAATGTCAACTGTTCGTAGGGATGTTTATTTGGAAGAGAGTACTGTACTTGCGGATCACCACGTCGGAAACAGTGATCGACGAAGTTGTTCAATGTTCAATAATGGCGAATATTGTCAGCATCTTTTGAACTTGCCGTATTTCTCGGGATCAGGATTGCCAGGTCCACGCGTTTTGAACTTAGTTGAACTACTTTAATAATAGCATCTTATTTTTTGTTTGCATTGCAAATTATAAAGTAAATACAGTCGACCACCCTAAAGCACGGTAGATACGTTCCTGTTTTTATGAATCCATTACTTACGAGTCCAGCCAATCATAGCCCGGCACGTATGCAGTTTACGGACTACGGCTGTTTGAAAGGTTTCTTCCATAAAATTAATCGATTCTAGACTAATTCGACATTTCCAAAATACGTATAATTTTTTGGGAATAATCCATATAAACTATGCTATAAACAAAAAATTGTAGGATTACTTACCGAGTGTGCACCGTTCGACTCGACAATGCCATTGCTTAAGCTTGTTTTCGTCGCGGAGATTGCCGTCGAATGGCGTTCGCGTGCTTCCTGATAAATTATTTTTTTGCGAAAAATTTGCTGAACTTTGGAGACATCGTTAATATAAATATAATTTTTATGGACGTTAAATAATAAATTATTTTTAGTAGGTCCGCTGCTCGTTTAAACTCAACGGTTTCTGCAATCCTGTCGCGACACGAGTCTGCGATGACGTTTTACCGAATTACAGAAGATTTTTTAGCATGTTTGTACGAATACTGTCGCAATTTTTTCGCCGTGATATAGGAATCCGAACTATAAGAACCCCTGTTAATGGGGGTCGACTGTACTACATTTGTAGCCCATTTTGGCAATGATGGTTTCCGACACGCATCGTCACTGTCTAGTAATTCTTTTTTTTTTTTTTTTTTTTTTTTTTTTTTTTTTTTTTTTTTTTTTTTTTTTTTTNTTTTTTTTTTTTTTTTTTTTTTTTTTTTTTTTTTTTTTTTTTTTTTTTTGTTATACTTCTCGGGGAATTGAAATGTTAGGAAATAAGTGAAGAAGGTTATCAGGAGGGGAAGAATCAAAATATCCTTAAAACGCGTTATATAATTTATGGACAATCTCTAAGCTGCTCAAAGTAAAGCAGCTTAAGAGTTGTCACATTTTGCACGTGACCAATGTGATAGTTGTGCTTTCTCCGAACCTAGTTTCAAGTGTTGACTGATTTAATTGCAAAATATTTCTTTTAAGAAATGCCGAAAGTAGTTAGCAGGAAGGAAGATTTAAGAAAACTAGCTGCAGGATTTGTCGAAGAAGGTATTGTTACTCGTGGAACTACTTTGAGAAGTAATAATCTATTTGTGACGTGAAGATTATATTGAAAAAAACACAAGTCGAAACCTCTTTAATTAAAAGCTTATTTTGACCAAACGAAAAGAAATTAAAGCAAAAAAAAAAAAACCAAGAAAAAAAACAAACCTTTATTTCAAAATCCATGACAGAAAGTAATAATAGTGCTGCTTACAGAAACGAATTGTTTTTTAACAATAGCTTTCTTTTATNGACTATACCATCTTGGCAACTGACCTTTCCTTGTAGGCTGCTGGCCGCCAAAAAGTCCTTTTAAAATCACAAAAATACATCCAGTAAAAAATACAAATATTTTTTAAAAAGGAATTAGTAGCATATGGACGTCTTCTAGTTACCATCATACCTTCTTGGTCTGTTTCGGCCTTTTATCTACTTGGAAAATGAGCGATTTTAATTTTTTCATCTACATTTACCAGCGTTCATTTTCCAAGAAGATAAAAGGCCGAAACAACCCAAGAAGGTATGATGGTAACTAGAAGACGTCCATATGCTACTAATTCCTTTTTTAAAAAAATTTGTATCTTTTACTGGATGTATTTTTGTGATGTTAAAAGGACTTTTTGGCGGCCAGCAGCCTACAAGGAAAGGTCAGTTGCCAAGATGGTATAGTCCAGAATGCGAAAATAATAAATGGTGGTTCCTTTTTTTTGGGAGGACTTTGTCTTCAGATATTTATTTAATTATAATTATTGCCATCGGACGAAAATTTTACCAAAAATCTAATCCAGATAAAATATTCTGAAGTGAAAAAAAGTAGTATTAACATTTCTTACATNATTAGTCTGGAAACGGGGGACCTAATTCTTGCATTCTGTGAAAACGGGTAAGATTGGCTATAATGTAATTATCTTAATCTTCACTATCGTTACTTTTTGCCCAGCGAAGCGGGTCCTTGCAGCTAGTTATTAATATTTATTAGTTTGTATAGTTTTAGTTTAATTTAAATTCTAGAATTTTCCTTCTTTCCGATTTCTGTGTTCCTTTGTCTCGGACTTCCAAAAACT